CAAAGCCACATCATTGACAATCCACGCGATCGCACTATGAAATCATTTTCTAAGTCCCCCTGATGCTCCATGAGACTTTTTTTGGCTTACAGCTTTCGTGGAGGCTCCGTATGGCCGTAGAAGGATCACATGTCATTCCTATCCCGATTCTTGTTATTACTGACTGTAATTGTTACGGCTAAACATCAAGGGGCATCAAGATTCTAGGTGGGTGCCCCTAAACCCTAAACCTTGTGTGTAAGGTTTAAGGGTCAAGCAAGCCAAGGGGGGAAAGATTTCCTCCACCAATTGCCTTACTTCGAGTTTGGTTAAACCAACACCCCAAAACCCAAATCCGTGTAGCGACTGCTATATCGATGCAGTCCCTAAACCCTAAACCCTGAACCCTAAACCAGAGGCAAGTTGTATGGCCAAAGTTCAGCCACCAATACCGTACCCCTTCCTCGTAGTCAGCTTCTTGGATAGTCCTTTTCGGATCCTTGATAAGAACCCTAAACCCTAAACCTTAAAAGAATCCCTTCCTATTTCCGGCAGGATCCTTTAATAACACAATCTTTTTGCGTCATGGTGAGGCCTGAGGTTGTAACTTTAAAGCCTAAGTCCTGAACCCTAAACCCTGAAACCCCAAAACCTTCAGCCTTCGATCCGAAACCCAAAGCTCCGAAGCTCAGACCCTGAAGGGGTTTATTGTTGTGGGTGTAGGGTTCTGGGGCTTAGGGTCCAGGTTTTATGGGGTTTCAGGTTGGGGTTTGGGGGCCTAAATCATTTCCAAGGGTGTGTAGGGTTTAGGGATAATTGGGAACCACATGGTGGATAATGAGTTGGAAGCTGAAGTTATACAGGGTTTTCTTCGTAGCTGGTAGCGAGTGTGTGCCACTCTTGTGGTCCTGGGTTCCGTGTGTACTTATGGCTTAGGGTACCTCACATTAAAGTCTATGTCAAAGGCTTCAAAAATGACGTCCGTAATCGTTCGAATTCTTACGTTACAAGCACCCTAAACCCTGGGTCTCTGCATCCGCGAAAGCTGTGCTGCCGCAAAAGGCTTCGTGGCGTACTTCCCCGAGAGTGTGTGCTCTTAGATCCTGCCATGCAGGTGGATGGGGCATTCGCAGGGTTTAAGTTCTCATGAGTTTTCAGTAGCTATCCCAATATAACCCCAATATAACCCTAATATATCCCCTATATAACCCTAATATAACCCTAATATAACCCTAATATAACCCTAATATAACCCCTATAGTTTAGGGTCCAGGTTTTAGGGTTTGTGGTTTATTGTGCAACCCAACCGATCCACACTCTGGCGGACAGGGCGGCCTTGTGCCAACTCATAGGGACGCGGAGAACACAAAGCATGACAACCAGGAGTGCGGACAGGACGGATGAGCGAAGCTGTATGGCCAGAAGGTTGTCAACGTACCGAATGACGGACTCGCCACAGGCGGTGCGTAAGGCGCACGAGCAGTCCAGCAACCCGCTTCCAGGTAGAAACCTGAGGCGCGAGCACTGAAATTTAGCGTGACGGATGGTATAAGATGTCACGGCAGGTCTTGATTTTCTGGCTTGATGTGGACTCGGCGGTGTGCTTTGGACACGTCCAGGACCAGGGCAGCTAGTGACTCGTTGGCAGGACAGATGGGGAAGGCACTTGCGGGCGTTAGCAAGGGACGGATTAGGAGCTTTGTTGGGCAGACGAGTGTTGGAGGTGACCACTGACCGAGCTGGACCACAAGACGCGGCGGACGGTCAGAAGACCCCTAACTTGCCCACGGCCGTGCTGATAACAACGGGTAAGCTCCGCAATTCACCGTCAACCGGACGGATCCAACTTAACGGAGTGCTGTGGCGAGAAGCTCATCGGCAAGTTCGGACAAGTAGGCGAAAATGTTGGCCAGAATCGATATGCAGCAGTTTCAAGGCTCAGGGTATTCCTTGAGTTTAGATTTGGTCGCATTCATTTTTCCCCTCCCCTGGTGATGAACCTCGCACCCCTTTTCAGGGTTCAGGGTTTAGGGTTTAGGGTGTAGGGGGTTAAGGGGGTTTAGGGTTCAGGGTGTAAGGGGTTTAGGGTTTAGGGATGTCACCACAGTTTATCATATTTGCTGATTGAGGCGAGTACGCGTGTGCTAAAGCGCTCCGGAGAAGTAGTTACCCTCGCAGCTTCAATAAACCTAGCAGGAAAAGCCAAGAGTGATCGGATACTATACAACTCCCACATTGACAGCCCCCACGTCCCAATGAGATAGATAGCCCTGAAGTAGCCCTATATCCTAAACCCTACACCCTTCTTTCGAGCTGGGTGGTGTTAAAGTGGGGGTGCTAAAATAAGCCCTGAAGTAACCATTATTTGGGAGCTGGGGGGTGTTAAGGTGGCGGGTGATGGATGATCCTATGAAAGAGTGGCGGTGAAGCAATCCCTGGGTAAGTAGCCCTTACCCCTCCCAGGCGAGTCTCTCAAAGTGAAGGGTCTACACTAAACCCTGACCTCTGAACCCTAAACCCTAAACCAAAGCCCTAAACCCTAAACCCTGAATGCTCATCGTGTTTGATTCGGTTTGGTTTCCGGGTCGTGGGCTACGTGGTGGGAGTTTGGGAGTTTCTGCACACAAGCCCTGCGAACTAAAGGCGGCCCGTATGAATCGCACAGCTCCCGATTCACTTTGATAAACCCCCCCATGTATGCATGATTCCCAAACCCTAATTAACCCCTGAAACGCATACTAGATAATGTAGACCCCTGATAAATAAACCCCCTCCCCTTAATAGGGACTATAATAGGGATCCTAATATTAAGGCCCTTAAAAGGAGGGGGTTTAGAAATCATGGGTCTACATTACAATGGTTCGCTAGGTCCCTAGCCCCTCCGACTGCAACCCCTATACAAGGTTAAACCCGAAGCCCTAAGCCTTAAGCCCTCAACCCTGCTTGGAGGCCCATGGGACTTAGTAACTACTTATAACTGACCTCATAACCCTACTTATAATCCCCCTAAATGGACTTAAGGCGGTTACCCCACTTATAAGTAGGGTTATAAGCGCAGTTATAAGTAGTTACTAAGTCCCATGGGCCTCCAAGTAGCGCCTAGGCCCTAAACCCCAACCCCTAAACCCCTTAACCCTAGATCGTTAAGCCCTCAAACCCTTAGACTTTAACCCCTAGGCGCTTAGCCCTAAACCCTAAACCCTAAACCCTTAACCCAGAACCTTATGCAACCCCTAAGTTGAAAGCCCTAAGCCCTAAGCCCTCAAGCCCTCAACCTTTAACCCTTAAACCCTAAACCTTGAACGCTTGTCCCAAAGCCTTGAACCCTAAGCCCTTATCCCTAAACCTTGAACCCTAAGCCCTTATCCTAAAACCTTGAACCCTAAGCCCTTATCCCTAAACCTTGAACGTAAAGCCCTTATCCTAAACCTTGAACCCTAAGCCCTTATCCCTAAACCTTGAACCCTAAGCCTTTATCCCTAGACCTTGAACCCTAAGCCCTTATCCCTATCCCTAAACCCTAAACCCCGAGTCCTTTAAGCTTGAGCTCTACAGTGGGCTTCCTCCAGGTCCATGTGCGCTTTCGCCTTGGGGGTCCCAGGCACAGTTTAGGGTTTAGGGGTTTAGGTTTTTGGGGTTTGGGGTTTTAGGGGTTTAGGTTTTGGAGGTTTGAGGGCTTGGGGTTTCTGGGTAGACTTGCAGGGGCTCTGGGGTTTGGGGCTCGGAAGAGTTGAGGATTTGAGGTGTTGGGTGTATAGGGTTTTAGGAGTTGAGGGTTTGGGGTTGTGGGTTTTGGGGATTCAGGGTTTTGGGTTTCGGGTTCAGGGTTTAGGTTTTCAGGGGTTTTGTGGAAGCCCACCACAGCTGGGTAGTTCAGACGTGGGTACTCTCCTATGCAACATGTCTAACCGCGTGGTGAGTTACTGCCGTAGCTGTGTGCGGAAGCCATGAACACCACCATCACCGATTCAGGTCATACAACTGCAACAGGAGCGAGAAAGTTACAAGAGAATGTCCGATTTCTTCGCGGAGAAATTGCTGCGAGAAGGCATCGGCTTGCTAGGAAGACGTCCGTGAGGAGTTCGTCAGCTTCACTCGGCGAATCGGCACGTTGCTGGGGTTTGTGAGCTTGAATGGTATACAGGTATACATTGGGACGGTCGCTCTCAAAAGTGAGAGTTACCAGAAGAAGTAATAGGAATTGCAAGAACCCTTGAGCAGAAGCCTCTGAATTTACGGACAGTTGCAGGTTCAGAGCGGTAGCCGATCCCTTTGAGGTCTTTTGCTTCGCTCATGCTGATTTGATTGTCACACTTTCTTACATTACATTTGGCCTATAGGGGTTTCAGGTGTCTTATGAGACTTGTCCACCGCAGCTGGGTAGTTCAGACGTGGGTACTCTCCCATAGGCCCGCGCAACCATTCACCTAAACCCTAGACATTAAACCTTAAACACTAAAGGCTCAACCTTGAACTCTGAAAGCTAACTAAATAGGTACCAGGTCTTTGGGAGGTCCTCTTGGGAGCATTGTGTAGACTGCCAACCCGAAACCCTACATCCCTTAACCTTGTGGATGGCGTCAGTGTGTGCACTTAGGCATCAATGGTTCAGGTTTTGGGGAGTTTCATGACTTCGCAGGTTTTGCGTGCAAAGGCTTTTGGTTTACGGTTTTGGGGGTTTACTGGGCTTAACCCTAAACCCCTAAATCCCTAAATCCCTAGTCCCTAAACCCTAAACCCCTAACCCCTAAACCCCTAAACCCTAACCCCCTAAACCCCTAAACCCCTAAACCCCCCAAACCCTAGACACGTATGTGGGTGGTCAGCCGCAGATGTGTGAGGTTCGAGTTGTCAGATGCTGAGCCACGGGGTCCGAGCGGGAATTGTGTCATATGGCGGTTTCCATGAACAGGGGTCGTAGTATGAACCCACAGGACTGATTAGGGTTTGGGGTTTAGTTTTTTGGGTTGAAGGTCGGTACTTAAGCTAAACCTAAACCGCTTGGAAATGTGTGTTTGGAGGTTCCCGCCTACGATCTACTACAAGATCTATACCCACGGCAATGCAGCTCGACGAAAGGGGGTGTGGTTTTAGGTTTTGGTTTAGGGTTACGGGTTTAAGCTTTAGAGCAATAAAGCCATCGCTCCTGTACTATGTAATGGTACTGTGTTGGGAATATTTGTTATTATGGGGGAAGGGTGCAGGGGTGTATTCTTGCACGCTAATGACTTCCTGGAGCACGGCCCATCAGAATATTCAAGCCCTAAACCCTAAACCCTAAACCCATAATAAGCCAGCATCATCCCTGGTGCCCATAGGCAGGAACATGCGACAAGAAGGATTGTCGCTGAACATTCCCAATTAGGGCTTAGGGGTTTGGGTTTAGGGTTCAGGGTGCCTTAGGCGGTTCCAATCATAAGGTTTTGGGTTCAGGGTTCAGATCCCAATCTGAACTTAAGCCTAGACCCCATCAATGAAAGGGCTGTTGGTCTGGCCTGAAACTGAAGGGGATCCCCCTAAACCCTAAACCCGACACCCTGTTGCAAGAAATAGGGTCAGGCACTATCCTGAACCTCTAGAGCTACATTCCCCGGTGAGCAGACTTGCCCCCTTGTACCAGCCCCGTTTCAGGTTCCCTTAGTTGATGTTAAGTATCGTCCCCCTTAAGTACATTGAATACGGCTTCGGGTATATTATACGAAGATCCCCATATACCCCATATTCTATCCACTGAAGGGGGACTATAGGCCTAAGTAAGTATAACTAAGGGAGAGCGGTGGGCAGTCTGCGAGGGTTAGTTGGGCAACCCATGAGATTCCCCAAAACCACACCCAAACATAGGTAAACCCTAAACCCAGAAAACTAAAGACTAAAGCCTGAACCCTAAAGCTGGATCCCTGAATCCCAAACTCTAAACCCTACAGTCTAGACCCAAAGATAAAACAATCTTTCAGCTCCGAGATAGTGGTAGGCCCGCCCCCAATTTCCCTGCACGAGATCGGTGCGCAAGGTTTTTGGCCGTTTCCTGACCCTGAAGATGCAAACCCCTGTTAGGGCTTGCGGTTTAGGGTTTAGGGCTTAGGGTTTAGCATTTAGAGGTAGTGTAATGCTAAACACACTCTACGGCGAAGGGTGCATCTTGGCTTTCCCATTCATACCCCTTAAATCTTAACCCCAAGCTCCTTAAATCTTAACCCCAAGCTCCAGACCCTGAGCCATGCCTTACATTCTCATGGAGAAAGCCCTAACCCTGACACCCTGAACCCTAAACCCTGAACCCTGGAATCCCAGCTTTCGACCTTCAGAGAAAGGTGGTAGACCTTGGCAGTTTCGCACCGCGCGATTACCATTTGGAGCGCCAGACCCAGGACCTGAAATACGTGGCTTCGGGTTCAGATTTCGGGTTTTAGGGTTGAAGGTTTTAGGGTTGGGGTTTTGAGGTTTAGGGTTGGGGGTTCAAAGTTTTAGGATTTATTGTTTAGAGTTTAGGGACTAGGGTCCAGCGTGCCAGAACGGAGAATTAAACACAAAAAGAAATGGCAAACGGCAATCGATCAAATGGTTAGATGGCCTTGTATAGGAGCTTATGGATTCCAAACTAAGTTACCCTGTGTGTGTGCGCGCGCCAAATCACATGATATACTAATCATGGTAACATGTTTTGAGTTCCTCAACAGCAACCCAGATCAGGTCTATTTGAAGGGTCAGGGGCCTTAGTATGTTTAGGGCTTGTGGTGTAGAATTTTGATTTCGTTCAGAGTTCAGGATTGAGGGATAAGGAAATGGAGGATGGAAAAGACAGAGGGAACTATCACATGGCTTGGTTTTTTTAGGGCTCAGGGTCAGGAGGGCTAGACAGCGGCTTGATGAGGGGGCTAGCCCTAAACCCTAAACCCTAAATGGTAAATGGTATGGGGGTTGTAGGTATACTTGCGAAGTCACCCTGACCTTCCAAGGGGGTTAAGGGTTTAGGGTTTAGGGATGCCTTATACCTTCTACTTACTGAGGGTTTGTAGGGAGTAACGTTATATACCCCGTATATGAGATATTCCCTCATTCCCTATGACCCCCAGTAAGTCTAGGTTTTCATAAATAAAAGCAGGGGAGGGGTGTCTTTTTGCTTGCTAGTTGGGGGGTTGGGAGTGGCTGGTAGGGGCCACCAGATCAAGCCTTTTTGCTTCCTAGGCTTGGGAGTTTAGGGGGTTTAGGGAGCTAAGGGGGCTTAGGGGGTTTAGGGTTTAGGGACTGAGTTTCAGTTTGAGGTTGAGATTTGTCAGGTTTCTAAGTTCATGGCTTCGGGCTTCTGGTTTAAGGTCGAGGGCTCTAGAATTTGGCAGTTTCAGGTTTCTGGCTCACCGTTTAAGGTGTGTCCAAAAAGTTGGTACCTCACCTGCACTCCGAAACCATATTCGTATGATGAGGACTCCATCACTCGGATCGGTGATTCTGGAAAACCCGGCGTGCCCCAAAATCACATGTCGGAGAGTCAGGGCAACTCAGTAGGTAGGTTAATCGCGGAGCTGCAGGGGATACTATGCGGTTCATACGTTCCTCAACCTTAAACGCTACACCCTAAGACCTAAACCCTCAGACCTAACCCCTGAACCCCAAACCCGAAACCCTAAAACTACTGGCGCTTCAAGTACTTATCGGCCTTGGGTCTCGAATCACCACCGCCCCCAAGGCAGTTGCTCCACAGATTCACTTCTCACTTGACTTGCTGTTAGGGTTAGGGTTTAGGGGATTAGGGTTTAGAATTAGGGTTTATAGTTAGGGAGGAATGGATTCATATGGTAGCTCCTAGGCCGCCAAGAATTTTGTCAAAAATCGAATTCAGTTTCGCTTTCCGTATTGATAACCGGCGAGTTGGGGATACCTCAGATGTTGGGGGGCAACTGGAGACTACCCTAAACCCTAAGCCTGGAAGCCCTAAACCCTAGGGACTTGGTATGTAGGCGAACAGCAGAGTTGCAGTTGGGATTGCTGCAAGCACATGGCCGAGTTGTGTGTAAAACCCAATTGTGAAGTTCCTGGCCCTTTCGCGAGTGTGGCTGTTAGAACCTGGAACTTCCAGCGCTAAACCCTCAAACCCCAAAACGCGGTTTAGGGTTTAGGGTTTAGGGTTTAGGGCAAACCCCAAACCCTGAAGTTCAAATCCTGAATGCGGTCTGGGGTGAAGTGATGACAGGAGACTGGACTTGCCGTGCCAGGCTCGATTTTGCAGCAGAGGGCAGATATTAACTTGTGATGTATGCTCTTGAGTTTAGTAGGCTTTGGGCTTAGGATTGAGGGCTAAGGGTCTAGGTTTTGGGGTTTCGGGTTTAGGCTTAGGTTTCACGGTTTTACGCCTTGAAGCTTCGCGTTGAATTGCAGGGCTTGTATGAACCCTAAGGGTCCAAGTACCCAATAATTAGATACCTGAGACAAGTACCTAACAGTTAGGTATCTGGGATTTTAGGAAATAGTAATTGTGCTACAGGTTTTGGGTGATTATGTGATTATTGGATCCTTACACCCCTGAGGGAAGGGTTTGGGGCGGAGCAGGGTGTATTTGTTTCCTCTTGGGACGAGAAACCTAGTACGATGAAGATCAAGTTCAAGCGAGAAACAACCATGGACTTACTGGTGCTTAAGGGGGAGTCGGGGAGTGGATCCCTAAACCCTAAGCCCTAAACCCTATTCCTTGCTCTATCATACTACCCAATTTTTCATTCCCCCCACTCCCCCCTAGGCACCAGTAAGTGGATGAAGGAAATCTTACACCACACCATATAATTACTTCATACCCTGGGACTTACAGCAGCATCTGATACACCTTCTACCCCATTAACTGCAATATGTTGGGGAGCCCAGGTGGTGGTTGAGATCTGTGCATCAGTGCTCATGCTTGCTTGACGGGACGGAGGGCGCGCTCGGATTGGGCATTACAAGCGCAGAGCTGGCCCTACCAGCCTAAACCCTTAACCCTTAACGGCGTAATATGGCTATAAGTATACTAAGTCCACTTGACCCTCCACATAACCCTGAACTTGGCCAGCTGACGGGCATGACCCGCCTGGCCAGTTCCCAACTATGTGTGGAGTTTCCTGACTTCCCATATTGTTGATATCTGCATGATTTTTTTGTACTTATTGTACTAGAATACCATAAATCCCAAGGTTTGCTTAGCCAGGATCAGAAAGGATCGCCGCATCAACACTAGGACGAGTCCCTATGTTTCTCTCTGCGCAGGGGCCCCTGCGTATGTTTCCCCATTTCAGCAAACTCCTGCATGGATCCCCTAAACTTTCTAGACCCCAAAGTCTCAACCCTAAGCACTAAACTTTGCAAACCGCCAACCCCAAGCACTAAACTTTCTAAACCCCAAACTCTAAGCCCTGGAGCCATATGTACTATAGTCTAAACTCCCTAAAGGGTGTTATACCCTAATAATGGAGAATCAAATGGAAAAGAAAATGGAAAATGAAAGGGATTATAGGGTAGTTTATAGGGGTTAGGGTTTAATTTGAGCTATAGTCTAAACTCCTTAAGGGGAGGTTATATAGGGGATTATAATAGGGGACTACTATAGGGGTTATGAAGGGGGATACTAGGAGTTCAGACAGTGGTTCATATGGCTCTTCCCAAACATAGTTGGGTCCCAAGATAGACCCCAAACTCATTGCAATCGTTGTTGTGTTATTACAGAATCAAACAAGGCTCCTAAGAAGGGGCATAGGGTTTAGGGTTTAGGCCTTGGAGGTTCCAAATGGAATTGCTTCCAGGCACCTCTTGAGGGACTTGCTGCTGTGGTAGTCGTAGCTGTAGCAAAAAAACCTGTCACCCAAATGGCCATAATGTAGGTTCCCTGTTAGGTGAGGATCCCTTTGTGTGGAAACGTACTCCCAATGGAACAAACCCCAATGTAGTTGGTTCGGCATCTCCTGAGAGATCCTACTTGCAGGGTTCGGGGGACTTAGTAAATTCATTGTTTGAATCCCCAGTATGCACGTAGTATCCCCAATTAGGGTTTAAGGTTTAGGGTTTGGGGTTTGGGGTGTGTATATATACATGTGTATACACATAGGAACAATGCGTTTGTAGGAAAGTTTTGGAAAGCCCTGACAGTCTCAGGAAAATCTACAGTAGAGTCTACAGGAGATGATCTTCAGAGAATTTACTGCACATCGTCCTGTAGCTATTTCTGTTGAAGCGCAAAACCCTAAACCCTCGAGTGTGTATGGGGGTACCCACCTGGTAACTACCCTCCTGGGGGTGTCCTTGAATCAGGAGACCACAATTGGTATCGGCGCATCGCTTCCCGACTCAATCAGGTTTAGGGTTTGGGGATGTAGAGGTTATGTAGAGATTTAAATTTATATGCAGACTGTACAGGGTATATGGAAGCGTTATGTAGGGAGTAGATACGTGTTCTACATGGATCAAATACACAAGGTTTCTGGCCTACGCCCTAAACCCTGGAGCTTAAACCTTAAACCCCTAAACCCTTAGCCCTAAACCCTAAAACCCTAAACCCCAAAACCTTTAAACCCTGTAACCCTAAGCCTGAAACTGTGTTGGGCAGGCTTAGGTTCTCTTCGCTGGTCTAAGGTTAATAAAAGGGCTGAGGGTTAGGGATAAGGTTTATCTGTTTGGGGATCCGAGTTTAGGCTTGAGGTTCAGGCTTCACCCTAAACCCTAAAACCTAAACTTTGGGTACCGCCCCCCCACCCCCCCCAGTCTATATTAGAGGTCTTGAACCATATTATAAGTATTATCCAACTGTTACTGAGGGGGGGCAGTACCCAACCTAAACCCTAAACCCTAAACTTAAAATCCTCAAGGTTTAGAGTTCAGGATTCAAGGAGTAAGGCAGGGAGGCATGTCAAGCGGTTTCCATCAAGGTTTAGGTTTCCTAAACCCTGAGTTTAGGGTTTAGGGGGTTTAGTTTTTAGGGTTTAGGAAATCCTAAAGTTTAAGCCGTAAACCCCAGACCCATGAGCCCTAAAGTTGGGGGTGTAAGGCATGGAGGCATGGAGAATTCTATGGAAAACGACTGCGTTATTTAGGTTTTAGCCTTTGGGTTGGACTATGGCTTAGAGGGGTTGTAGTATGCTTATTTGAGTTTAGGGTTTAGGGTTTAGGGTTTGGGGTTTAGAGTCTAGGGTTTAGGGTTTAGGGTTTAGGGAACCCTGACCTTCCACCCTTTAAACTTCCATGTCATACTTTTTGCATGCCGAATTCCGGAGGTGTTTCTTGGAGGGGTGGAGTAGTGAGCACGAGGAGCTCTTTAGCCTGTCGCCTGGGTGCTCTAGCTCGAGGACGTGTATGGTTGCCTAAGCATCGGCTAAAATCACGCATTGACCACCGCAAAGGTTCTTCTCACAGCTGTGAAGCTCGAAGAGGCGTGGAGACTTCGGCTTGCAGGTGTGACCCTCTACACCTTGGGACATTCCTGGCCAGGCCACAGCTTATGAGGCTGCAGGTCCGCGGTTGAAGACCGCGATGTGGTTGGTGGCAGTCAGCAGAGATTCCCTGCCTTCGTCATCATTTTCTTCATTTCTTCAGTCGTTGCTCCTCGCTTTTCACCCGGATCGTCAAGCAAGAGAATGCTGAGATCACCTCTTACCTCGGGAGCCTGTTGCGAAAACAGGGGGGTTTGAGCTCCTCCCCTCACTGTTCGAGTCGCTGTGTAGCGTCAGACTTTGAAGCCAGCGAAATTTGGTACCGATCTGCTTCAGCAGCTGCAGAACGTTTTTTCGTACGGCCCGCGAAGCCCTACATCCTTGACTTCAAAACCTCGAACATCAGACCTGTGGCTGCGAACCCCACATCCCAAGCCCCCAGACCTAAACCCACAAACCCTAAACCCTAACCGGAAAACCAAAACCTCTAAGACTCAAACCCCATAAACTCAAGATTCTCAGCTAGGATCATTACCTGCAGGGCCAAGTCCTCTCTCAGTGGGTAAATGCTGGGAGAGCTAAGCTCTCTACATGGCTGCAGGCAACACTCCTTAGGAGGGGGTTGATTAGGGGATGATAGAATACAGGATTTAGGGTTTAGGGTCTAAACCCATTAAAAGGGGGCTATATTGGGGATCATAGAGGGGACTAAAATGGGGGTAGTTAAGGGGATACTGGGAGTTTAGACTATAGCTTAGGTGGCGTAAAGGGGTTATAAGATGTAAGCATGCTTACTAAGTCCTCCTGACCCTGAATCCTAAAAGCCTTAACCTCTTCAACCTTAAACCCCAAACCCCTCAA